CACACACACACACACACACACACACACACACACACACACACACACACACACACACACACACACACACACACACACACACACACACACACACATCTACATGCATGCATGCATATGCACATGCATACGCATGCGTGTACACATAAGAAGCAATCACAAACAAGTGAAAAAAAAACTGGACATCCGAAATGCAGAGCCAACCCAGGATGCACGGAAGCATAAGTGTGTCAGTACTTTGTAAGGAACAACTAACACACACGCCCCAAGAGGCACAAAAAAAGGGCACAAATTCATGAAAACGAATCATCGTGGATCCTTCTGGCCCCTGGGAAAATGATCCCAGGCTCTCCTCTACGAACACAGATGAAGCTATCAACACTGCTAAGCTCCCTCCTCTGGCTATGGGGGAGAACCCCGAACCCTTCCAAAGATCCTCCCTTCTCCGGCCTTTCTTTTCTCTTTTCCAGTTTCTTGAACTGTCTTCCCTCCTCACCCCACCCCCCACCCCCCACAAAAGAAAGACGTAGCCACCGACACCAGCGTCTCCACCAGGATTGAACTCTTGATCTGCTGATCAATAGTAACATGGGTGTTGATGAATATCTATTTGTAACAGAGTACACTCATATGCAACTCTTCCATCTATCCTTGCTTGTCAGCCACCCAGTGCTGCCTCCTCTGCATGTGAAAAGCCATATCCGTGCTTTGCCCAGAGACTCTACCCTCCCCCCGTTCTTCTCCCAAATAGCTGAATCATACCTGAATCATCCACCTCTCTCCAGATCTCTGGACTCATCCCTATCCAGAGACTCATCCCTGTCCATACCCTCCCTCCCTTCATCCAACAACTGGCCGTGTGTGTTCATCGCAACTTGGTTGCGCACATGGCTCCATCTGCCGTCCTCTTCTTTTTTGCTAAAACAATAGCTTTCTTACTCTGCCTCTGGTGAAAAGGAATCTACAGAAGAAAAAAAAAAAAACGCAGTGTCGGTCACCACGCGAAGTATACCGTACGTGCTGTATGAGGTGCGAAAATCCAGATGGTCATATTGTCTACTGCATCCGTTGATCGTGAACCCTGTGTGCACAACGAAGGGCAAAAGCCAGATCACGTCATCGCCTCTGAATGCAAGAAGCCTTGCTGCTGTGTATCTCCAAAACAACCACCAAGCAGAAGACACTTTATAACCCATGTGCCAACCTTTGAGTTTGAACTCATGGGCCAACCACCTAGCTGCAGACAGCTTTTAGAACTCATGGGCCAACCACTTAGCTGCAGACAGCTTTTAGAACTCATGTGCCAACCACCTAGCTGCAGATCCTTTGAATGACCCCAAATGTACATCCAACCTTGAGTTTGAATACATGGGCCAACCACGTTGCATGTGCCTCGGAACTCAGGACCATTGAACCACCGATATTTCCGAGACCCTTTTTCCCCACATGGATTTCTGCTGCACGACAATAAAACAGAAACCGTTCAAGCGCTTTTTTTCCCTTTTTTTGCCCAGCAGCACCGGTCATTTCAGTCCCACAGGCTGAGCCCCTAAGGACCAGGCGCGCTAATGGCCATGTTGGAACAGACTGGCTGGGAAAGATACTGGAGGTTCAAACCACCAGTACGTTTCCCCACTTGAAAAACAAATATGCGGCTCGTTTACGGCCACACCTTTCGGGCGTTGGGGTACCACACTAAAATGGCTGGCGGCGCCAGCCAAAAGGAGGCCCGCGCCGGTTCATCTTTTTTGGGCGCACAGGGCGTTTCCAGGGTCGGAGAAAAGTGCCTCAGAAGTACTGGTGGTTTAACGGATTTTGGCCTAGACCATAACTTTTGTGTGCGCCTTCTAATCAACCCAAATCTACGGCCGGAAATGCAACATGTGGTCTCCATTGCCGTCTCCTCTTATTCCTTCTTCTTCATTTTTTTGGCTTGGAACCCCTTAGAAGACTCTACCCACCCTTCCTCTCGTCAATTTTCCCTGGAGCACCCCTACCCCCCCTGTCCTACTCTAGTGTTAACCATCCAGGACCATCACCCATCACCATCTTTTGACGGGGTGACCTGACCGGAAAGCAGTCAGGCACCCGGGCTGAGCACGAGTCCCTGCTCAACCCTGGTTGAAGCAGATCCGCACAAGCCCATTGTACAGGTACTTCGGGAGCTACGCCTGAGCATGTTACTGCAGGCTTTCATGAGGAGGGTCGGAGTGTCCCCAAACTAGACCCGGGTATCCCCGGTAGATTCTTTAGCATGCACTTTCCAGGTATCACATGCAGTGTCTGATGGCCTGGCCCTGGCCAAGGTCCAACCTATATAACACGCCAGGGGCTCTCCCATCTAGCACAGCTTGACTTGGTAGCGTAGTTTATAGCCTACCGTCTTCACCCGAATAGAACGCCCGGTTATTATCGCTGCATCTGCACCGAAAGGTGTGCCAAATACAGCTATAATGACCGGGAGTTCTATTTGGGTGAAGACGATAGTTGATAGGTGAGTTAATAGCCTAGGTGATAGCCTACTTGATAAGGATGTAGAATCCTTGTAGATGCATAGTTGAAGGTGACACCGAGCATCACGACTGTCACAGGTAACTATTAACTAAGGGCCTCTCTCCAGCACCCACCAAATTTGCAAAATGAGAATGAATCTTCTGCTAGAACATGGAAACATGCACCGCCATGATTTTTCTCATTTGTGCATGTGCTGACTGGTGGGCCCATGTCCTAACTGCTAGCATCATGAATATAAGAACCAAACCGGTGGGCCTCATGACTAAATGGAGCTGTCGTTTCGAACAATGGCCCTGTCTTCAGTTCGATCAAAGGCGGAGGAAGCATGTACTAATAAGTCTAATATCCTTCGTGTTGTTCCATTTCGCACACTAGCACTTTCTGACAAAAGACCTCTCAGTTGCAGCGAAGAGTATTCTACTCTTCTCCTTTTCCCAAAAAAAAACGCAGTGCAGCTATGCTTCTTTTCCGTGAAAGGAAAGCTTGCCTGGACTGCACAGGAAATGTGAAGGAGGGGGAAGGTGGATTGGAAGCACTCTGTTGGCACTTCAAGCATGAAAAAACGAGACAGGTGGAGGAGCAACAGGGCAGCATGATATCCCACGGGCAAAATTGTGAATGCCTCTGTCACTTTCCAGAATATAATGCTTTCCCATAAACAAAAGCCAACACAGGTGCCGTGGTGTAGTTGGTTATCACGTCAGTCTAACACACTGAAGGTCTCCGGTTCGAGTCCGGGCGGCGCCAGAACATCCTCCCTGAAAGGTNCCTGAAAGGTGCCGTGGTGTAGTTGGTTATCACGTCAGTCTAACACACTGAAGGTCTCCGGTTCGAGTCCGGGCGGCGCCAGAACATCCTCCCTGTGGTCCTTCCAATTTTCTCACCAGAACATCCTCCCTGTGGTCCTTTCAATTTTCTTTTTCTTTTCATTGATCTCACTTGTGAAGGGCGCTGGTTCAAATCCGAGCAGAGCCCCCTCTTCTTGTTGTCTCTGTTTGTTTCCTTCCTCCTCAGATTTCCTGTTTCTTTTTCATTGGTCTCACTCGCAAGGGTCGCTAGTTCTAATCCAAGCGGCCCCCTACTGTTGTTTCTATTTGCTACCTTCCTCGCACCACCCAAAAGTAATTTCTGTTCATTATCACTGCATCTGGACTGAGAGTTGCCGCAAATACGCTATAACAACCGAGTATTTACTCCAGGGAAGATGGTACTGATTGATACACTGGACTGCTGGTCAGAGGTTCAAGTCCACTCGACAACATTGTCCATGTTTGTCCTTTACAGTCAAGGTATTGTTACTCGGCTCAAAATCCAATGGGCTCAATGAGGTATGGATCCCGATCCTGACACCCTGAGCCCAGACAAACCTGACTTCTAAAGGGAAACGGGGGTGTATAATCACTATTAAATTAGTATTAATCAGGCAAAGTCTCATTTTCATCCACAAGACGGGGCCATTCCATTAGAAGGAAGCTTGTTTTTGCGGGTATTGCTGGACTGGTGAAGTTGATGGGAAAATAGTAAAATACTAAAACAGGTTAAAAATTTTAAATAGTAAAAAAACGCAGCTTCTTTGGCGGAATTGTATACACACGTAACTGTCAGTAAACAGCTCATAAATTTGAAATTTGTGTCCTGATGGAATCAGACAAATAGTTCTCCAAGTCAAGAAACAAAAACGCCATGTCCCTCCGGACATCCATTAGAATCGGAACGATACAGAGAAGATTAGCATGGCCCCTGTGCAAGGATGACATGCATAACTCGAGAAATTGTCCAAAATGTGAGGGCTTGAGCCCTCGGCAGCACCAAAGAGCCCTGCTGAGCCTTCAACCTGCCTGCCCTGAGAACAGGCGGGCCTGCATTTTACAAAGGGCTCACGACTCAGACACTTCCAGGCTGAAGGGGCGCCAGTTAGTTACAGGGCCCTGCGTGTGTGACCCAGACCTTGCGAGCCTTCCAGGCTCTTCCAGGCAGCAATGTGGAGCAAGGCCTTTCGGCCAATCAGAACGCAGCGAGTCGGCGAATCAGAACGCAGCGAGTGACAAGAGCCATGTCGCACAGCCGGGCATGCCCAACTGCTTCCATCCCAGGCGGGTATCTGAATCTGGTGCCACGGCGCAGACACTTTGGCCTGACTGGAAGCTACTGGGCCCCAAGGCAGGTGAGCACTTTCCATAAAGGAAAGTGCCCTGCCCATAGCCAGGCATTCTGGCCTGATGAGGCAACCTGGCGTCCACGCTGCTGGTTTGGCGCTAGCAGGCTGCTGCGGCGCTGGCTGGATAGCGCACACAGGCGCCATTGGTGGGGAGTGCTGCATGGGTAGCTGACTAGAGCTAGCTCATGAATCTTGCTGAGTTCCCTTACCTTAGCAAGCTTTGATAGTCATTCTTCATCTGAGGCATGACTAAGCTAGCTTCAATTGCCGGAGGGAAAACACATGCCATCTCCACCTCTTACACTCCAAGTAAAGCCCTCCAAATTTCCACATGCCACCTCCTTTTCCTACACCTATTTCTATGCTTCCCCATGAATCCATTACTTCCTTACAACAAAACCTTATCAGTGTTACCACCCTTGCTTGCCTCCTCTGGTTCAACATCCAGATCCCTTCCCGCGATCTTGAATACTTGAGCTCTAGTTCCAAGTTTGAATTTTGCTGTGTACATTTTGGTTAACTTGTTTACCTTCCTTGACTTCTGTGGTAACAACCAGTTTTGCTGTCTCTCCCAGCTACTCTAGCAAGTTTAACCAGCACTTCTTCATGACCCGGGGACCAATTCCTCGAGTAAGTGCTTCAAATTCTTCTAGGCAAGTCTTTGGGGTTACTATATAGAATTCTAACCTGACGGTTGCCTGGGAGTGCCTTTTCCACTCACTGATTTTTCCCAATCTTCTACAGTTTGGCCAGTGATTCCAAGCGGAATTTTGTCTGGTTTCGCACTTAAACGTTTACCCAGATCCCTTCCCACGATCTTGAATACTTGAGCTCTAGTTCCAAGTTTGAATTTTGCTGCGTACATTTTGGTTAACCTGTTTATCCTCCTTGACTTCTGTGGTAACAACCAGTGTTGCTGTCTCTCCCAGGCACCTTCCAGGCACCTCCATCACGACCTTCGCTCTCTCTGAGCATACTCACACTAGAACTTTCCCGGATGAACCTGACAGCAATTACCGCCAGTCCTGGATGTATGTGGATGCAACTACCGCCAGGGATTAGTCGACAAAGTACTGGTGTGATTCGCTCTCTCAAACTGGCTCCCATATTTGGGGTCAAGCAAATGGAGCGGCCGTTGAATGCTTAAGACTGCTTACTACCCAACAGATGTTTGATGCTCAGCACCTCATCCCAAAGGGAGCATCTTCTACCTTCCTATATTTCTGAGCCCCCATTCCTTTGGTCTCTCAAACTGGCTTCCCTTTTGGGGTCAAGCACATGGACCGGTCGTTGGACGCTTAAGACTGGTAAGACTGCTTAGTACCTAGCAGATGTTCGATGCTCAGCACCTCATCCCAAAGGGGAGCACCTTCTACCTTCCTATATTTTTGAACCCCCATTCCTTTCACAGGTCCAAAAAGACCTGAAATGCTACTGTTAGGGGCAAATCCCTTTGAAACTTTTCAGGACAGGTTTTGTGTACCATGGGCCATGGCACAGAAAACGTGTTCGTTAAAATGCCTCCATTAAAATGCCTCCGTTAAAATGCCTCCATTAGTGGGCAGATCAGAGCTCCATTCATGAAGGAATCAGAGGAATGAATACAATAATGTTTAAGGGTGGTGTGCAGGTTTTTTTTAACTTCTTTTTTTTTTTTTTTTTTTTTTTTTTAGTGCAGGGTTCTTTTTGTTTTCCTTCAACACAGAAAAACATAGCCTGATGGTCCTGGGTCCACTTTGTATTATATTCTACAAAACATCGTTGCAGTTTCTTTTGCATGCCGAGGCCAAAATGTACCTCTCAGGGCATACTTACACTACCGTCTTCACCCGAACAGAACGCCCGGTCATTATAGCTGTATTTGGCACAACTTTCAGCCCAGACACAGCGATAATTACCGGGCGTTCTATTCAGGTGAAGACGGTAGCACTTTCCAGAATGCATCTGACTGCAATTCCGGCCATACCTGGATGAACCTGACTGCGATCACGTGCAGAACTTTGTCGAAAAAATCCTAGTGTGAGTTTGCCCTCAGATCTCTCACCATTATGGCGAAGAAGCCGGTTGCTTTTCTTTGACTGAGTCCGCAAGTCAGTCCTGCCTTTTTCCGTCCAAGATGCTAGCTTAATCTACCACCTTATCGATGTACTCCTCATATGTGCTGGCCTTTGCTATCAAGGAGTTTTCTTTTTGTACCTGTTTTCCTGTTTACTATTCTATCTGGCATCAACCACAGAGGCTGCCACATGTGTAATCAGTACCACTACTACAACAGCTTGTATACATTCATGATGAGGTGCGTTGTGTTTGGCAGACGAAGGCAGACAAAATAGAGTGCATCGAACCTTCTCGTTGATTGCCGGTGCGCATCTTGCAGTTTTCGTTTCAGCTTTCTTTCCGTGTTTGCTACTGTATTTGTCACTACTCACCAGACGGGAGGCTGGCTGACAAATATACGTGATCAAATTAGATCAATCATAGTCAGTAGTAGTAAACCCTAAAACCAGCAGTCCCCTCCGAGCCTCTTTCTCCCGACCCGGATTGCTGCCACGCGCCAAAGAAAAACGCTACGGGTGCAAATTTGCAAAATGTTTTCTTTTTGCCTGCTACTGCCAGCCATTTTCAACCAGTGGGCCGAGCGCCTGTTGAAGTGGCGAGTTAACCACCGCGTTGGACAAAATAGTTGGGAAAGGGACCCGTGAATTTTCAGTAGCAAAAAGACTAGGCTGCCAGCCATGTGCTGCAGGAAGCTATTGACTGTGCAAAACACAGAAAATTCCGCTCAGAATCACTATTTCGAAGTCACCCTGATGGCTCGTCTTACCAGCATTCACACCGTGCCCTAAACTGCAAGAGGCAGAAATCAGCAAACATGGGGCAGATGTCAAATCCGTCCACTTGGTTCGCACTTGCACTTTGTATTATAGCAGACTTCTCCTACACCCCATCCTGTAAAAAGACTCTCTCTCTCTCTCTCTCT